ATAATAGTTACTGAAACTAGGTAGACTTTTTAAATCTGACCTGCTCCAGTTATTTTAATTATATCCTTATAGTGATGCTTATGGTGATGGGAATTATATTCCAATGTATTTGAAATACACTTTAGTTTTTCTCCTCCATAGTATTTCAAGACAGCAGAAGCAAATGGGATTTCAAGGGAAGTGCCTAGAGAAATGGAACATAAGGAAGTTAGGCAAGGAAAAAAATTGCTGTCCTAAATCACATGCTTTGATCTTAAAATTAGGAGAGAAACAACATTTTATGTGTGAATTTTTATTCCTCAATTGATAACCGTTAGATGCATTTGTAATCAGACTTCAGAGAAATGCATTGTGTTTGAAGTGTTAGGAAAAGAAATAAAAGTTCTGTTGATGCTGTTCTGAAAAATATCAACATTTTTATGGGCTGTTATATATTGTACTCAGGTAGGTACAGTACAATCAGAAAGTATTCACTTTTGTCAGTTTTGTTATGCTGCAGCCCGATTCTACAGTTGTACATATATGAACAAAATTGAAGGGAATCTGAATACTTTCTGAATGCGCTGTATACGCACTACAAGGAGATAATTATAAACTTGAAAAGTCATTCTGTGATGCATCCAGCTTTTGTGTATCAGTAGATACCTACACACCCTGTAGTACCTTCTCCAACTGCAGGTCCTTTAGATGCTGGAATTATGAATTCCAGAATTCCCAGAAAGTAAGAAAGCTGGCTGGAATTGTATATTCTGGAAACATGTTGTGTGCTGAGATCACCAAGTAAAAGCACTAAGAAGTGGTATATAAGTCTGATATATATATATATATATATATATATATATATATATATATATATATATATATATACACACATATATGTTTTCTGAGGTTTTCGTGGGTGTTTGTATGTAGGTCTTTGGTTGTTCGGGTTTTCTCCCGCGTAGAATTGGAAATGTCTTGCCGACGTTTCGACGAAGTCTCATTCGTCATCTTCAGGCTGGTGTTCTTGGCTTCGTGCTTCCAGGTTTCCAGGTTCTGGTTTACAGAGTGAGATAGGCATTTAACAACTATATGTAAGATTTCTTTCAGCATCTGCCTTTTAACCCTGATGATGTCAAGTGTATTTGACGAAAGCTTGGTTGATTAAACTTTTATTTCTTAAATTTCTCTTGGTGATCATTATTTTAATAAAAAATGGAAATTCCCAAGAGTCAAATTTTTACTTGTATTGTTAATGTGTGTGTGTGTGTGTGTGTATATATATCAGACAATTGAGCCCAAAATTTCTGTTATTAATGAGCTATTTGTTAAATGAGTTTTGCCCCATTTTATAACTTTTCTTGCCACAGTTAAGTGAATCACACTGCACGTGTTCAGTTAATAATACAGTTGTTAAGTGAATCTGGTTTCCCCATTGACTGCTTGTCAGAAAGTCGCAAAAGGTGGTCACATGATGTCAGGAAACTACAACATTCATAAATAGGAGTCAGTTGCCAAACATCTGAATTTTGATCACGTAACCACAGGGATGAAAAGAAGAATGAAAGAATGAAAACAGTCATAAGTCACTGTTTTCAATGCCATTGTAACTTCGAACAGTCACTAAATGAACAGTTGTAAGCCAAGCACTATCTGTACTTGGAATTGTTTCTTCAATATATTACAGAGACATCGCTCTGTTCCACAAATATTGGATTTAAAATGGAAACTGCCAGGATATCAGAGTCTCAGAAGGATTATACATCCTTCTAATCTCTCAAATTAAATTAAGCCAACATACTTTTCATATACTTTTGCTAATAAACTACTCAACTTTAAAGACAAACAACTTTGCACATGCTCAGAGTCACAACTTATGAGGGGATGTGAAATATAGTTTTATAAACAAAAATACCCAACAATTTTATCTCTTAGAATTCTAGTTGTCTTGTATTTACAGCTGTACATCTAGCTGCTAGTTGCTAGGAGGATGGTTTGAGAAATAAACTGAGGAGGAGGGAGGAAAAGGGTACAGGGAAGGTTAGTTTGAAGATATTGATTGCAAGACACACTGAACCATAACTAACAGTCATGTTTTAGCTGAACATATTGTGTAAACTCAACCCCTACAGTTAATTTATGATTCAGTGAGTCATGGACACCCATATCATTAAATAAATCGTACTTAAACCAAGCATGAGTAAGCATATTGTATTGGCAATGAAAATATTAAAAGAGGTGAATAATTTCTGCCTTTTAGGATTGACTATCAACATTAAATGACCAATGGTCAGGATATATGTCACAAACTAACACACGATAGGGTAGGAATAAAGGTCTTGGAAACTATTGAGATATTGTCATGTGTCTATCCCTACAAAGATCAGAATTGTACAGGGAAGGACTTTACCTGTAATTCTCTATGGAAGTGAAAGATGGGCTTTGAAGCAGCTGTATAGAATATTCATGCACCTTTGAACTCCAGGGTTAGAGAGAATGCCATACACATTCTTAGAAACAACTGGCTCATAAATCCAGTTCAGAGTTCTCGTGTAAAACAGAAATGACCAGGGTCAGATTGTCATATTGGACATATGAAGGCCTAGCACTCTAAAAAAAAAAGTTTATAATATTGGGGAAAGTAAAAGGAAAGGGAAGAGGATGACCTAGAGTTGGATGGATGGACTCAATTATAGCCACAATGTGTGACTTTTGGAAGAACTGAAGAATAAGGTTGGAAACATATCATAGAACGTAGAAGTACAGAATTGGAAGGGACCCTGTAGTTCTTGTAGTCCAACCCCCTACTCGAGTAGAACAGAGGTCCCCAAACTTTTGGGCAGCAGGGACTGGTTCCGTGGAAAGGTTTTTCCATGGACCGGAGGGCGCGTGGTTTTGTGTGCTGCCTGCATCTCACAGATGGGGCTTTGCTTGTTTGTGTGGACCGGTTGCTGGCATGCCACCTTCCAGTACTGGTCCATGGACTGGGGGTTGGGGACCCCTGGAGTAGAAGACTCTATACCATTTCAGACAAATGGTTGTCCAGTCTCTTTTTGAAAGCCTCCAATGATGGAGGCAAGCTACTCCATTGGTTGACTTCTCTCACAGTTAGGAAATTTCTTCTTAGTTTTAGGTTGCTTCTCTACTTAGTTAGTTTCATCCAAGTCTATATGGCTGCTAAGAGTCAACACCATCTTTGTGATATATGATTATATACCAAAATCTATTTATACACATATTTCACACCCATTGACGCAAGACACCAAAACGTTTCCTGGCTAAGTAAGGCATGAACTGGAAACCTGTGCCCTTCTGGATATCACTGAAGATATTACTCCCCAAAGACCAAACTGATGTGTCCAAGAATGAAGATTGCTGGCACTTACAAATCAGCAATATCTGAAGGTCCACAAGAACCTCTATTCTCTAGTTTCCCCCTTTCTAATGGTTTATCATAATTGTCATCAGCTGCAATCAGCATGACCAACCCAGATGTAAACAATTAAAGCATCTGGAAAGTACATTTATTGATTGCAGCACTTCCCTTCCCTCCAATTATCATTTTGCATAATTTGTTGTTGGTTTTTTTTTGTTTTTGTTTTGGAGCATTTTTTCTCCTTTATTCAGAAAATAGTGAAGGGAGATCTCACCGCTAGGGGATCGAAGATTAATCAGGACCTTTTCTTATCCTACCACAGCTCACCTAGTCAGATTTACTCTGAAGAACAACTGTAACTGGTAAAGTGAATAGAATTTTCTCTCGGCACCAGCCTTCAGGGAAGACTTTCTATAGCTGGAGAAGACGCAAGTGAAAGCACATCTGGGAGAATATTCTGCGTTTCCGTGAACAGCTGGACTCAAAGGATGAGAAACAAAAGCTTTTATTAGCCCCACCCGGATTGCTTTCAGGATCGAAAGCTGCCGATTTCACATCAGGTAAGAGGTTGTAGCCAGACTTTCTCCGACACTGAGAAACCAATCCGCTGGTGCGACGGTTTCCTTTTATCTGCTGGAATTTAAAAAACAAACAAACAAAACATTCGGATTTTCCGACACCCTGTCGTCTCGCAAGGCAAGCGCTTCCTTGTTAACGCACCGCGATCCTATACCGTATCTCGAATGGGTTTCTGCATTTGGCCGGGTTGCAATTGCACAGCCCTGGAGATGGCTGCTTCCCAAATGCTGGGCTTTTCCTTTCCCTACGCCGGTTGAGCATCCCACCTGCTTCCACCCATTCCCTAATAGCAGCGGCTCACAAAAAGTGAAAGTAGCCAAGCAGAGGACGCATATCAAGGGCTCCTGCGCTCTATCCTGCCTGTCGCCCAGGCGTCTCCCGCGCCTACTTTCCCGACTTGCTAATCAGGTCACCCTAGGATAAGAGGGAACCGCTTGCTGGGCGATGCTTACTCCGAGAAATGCGGGCCTCCCTTGAGCTCCAACCCGATTTGGCGGCAACAACTCCTTGCTTTCGTCGAGGTGGTGGATAGGAAAGAGTTAAACGCTGGCTCTTTGCCTCCCCTCCGGTGTAGTGAAGCGAGCGAGCGAGCAGCAGCGGAATTGCTGGCTGACTCGAGAGAAAAGGCAGAGAAGGCTGGTTGCGATGCTCCAACTACAGAAGACTCGGTGATCCGATATATTGCACGTATATTGTCTTATTTTGCTTTTTTTTTCACATCACCCCCCCACCCTTCTCTCCTCTGAAGCTTCCCACCCCCTTCTGCGGGACTTTCGCGGCGCGTGTTCAAGCCCTGGAAGGAGCCGCTCGTGCACACGCGCGCCCGCCGCCCGCCCAGCCTCACCTAGATCCCAGGGTTGCTTTGCCTGGCTTGCTAGGTGCAATTGCTGGAGCCGCTGTTTCCTTCTGCACCGGAAAGTTTCCCCCGCCTAAAGCAGCATCTTTGCAAGCGGACCGCGCTGCAAAAGCTTTGGCGAGAAGCGTTTTTCTTGGGGCGCGTCAGAATTTCGGCTTAAGATCCGTTCCAAAAAAAAAGAGGAAGAGGAGACGCTGGAGTAGGAGAGACACAACCCCCCCCCTCTGTTTCCCCCCTTTTCTTGAAGGGTTGTAGGATAACAAGGAAAAGGGGAAACGGCTCTTGATCGGGGAGCCTTTTATTTCATTCGCTGCCGCCACCACCCCTTGCTTTTTAGTGACCATTCATCTTGGGGGATTTATTTGCGGAAAATAACCAACTAAGAGAACCAAGCCAACTTGGAAAGAGGAGACCCCCGCCTTGCTCTCTCTCCCATCCGCCCCAACGTTGTTCGTGGGTTTCCAGTGTAAGGATTGCTCTCTGGGTTTGCCTTTTTTTTCTTTTTTTTTTTTTTGTCTCCGTGGCCAATATCCAAAGGAACTCTGGAATTAGAAAGAAGCCGACCGCCGATCGTATGTGTGTCTGCGTGATACCCAGCTGCATCTGTTTCACACGGCGCCGAGAAGAATTCAGGCGGCGTGCAGGTAAGGGAAAGAGACAGGGTGCCTTTTCCCTTGGATTTCCCTTTTCTCTCTCTTTCTTTTCCCGTTTTAAACGGCGCCTTGCATTGGATTCCTGCTCTCTCCTTTAAAAGTCCATCTCTGGGCGCATCTCCTTTTCCATTTCTTTACCACCAGCCCCGTTTTGGTTCCGAGGAGAGGGAAAGTTACTGGCCCCGTAAAGGAGACCCGAATTCGCCGATGGAAGGGAGGCGAAAACGGCTGAAAGGGAGATAGAGGGACCTCCGCATCACCCCTTCTTTCTTTCTTTCTTTTTTTAAAAGAGGCACTTTAGGTTTGTTGAATTTCAACTGTGAATGTTTGGCGCGTTTTCCCTTGGTGCTTTCTGTACAGCTGCTGAGAGGGGAAGCCAGGGGAAGCGGGCAACCCAGCCTTTTCATGCTTTAGGAGCAGCGTGGATGGGTGGGTGGATGGAGGAGGACGGGAAGGCACCGTGGCCCAGGCTCCTACGGCTCCAAAGTCAAACGCGGTTGTCTGTGAGGGATTGCACTCCGGAATCGGCTGGGGATTGTTGCGCGTCTTTTTTCGTCCACTAGAGGTTCCCCGGGAGCGCGGGATTGAAAAAAAATAAAATAAAAATCGAAGGGAGAAACCCCCCGGAAAATGGGGTTCGTGTCATCCGTACCTCAGGGAGAGCGGCGGTCGAAACGTGGCTGTCTCTACTTTCGCCCCTTCTCGGCGGCTTCTAATTTCTGGCCGGTGGGTGAAGGGAGACGTGTGTATGTGTGTGTGTGTGTAGACAGCGAGCTTTGCGCTCTCACTTCTGTGCTTGACTGTGGAAACCTCGCTGTTTTCATATGAGGGGACGGAGGGAAACTCCTATCCGTAGTCGGCATTTCTCTCAGAGGGCTGCTTAATGTTTCAGAAATAATGGCTTAACTTTAGGTGTCCTATTTAATATTTCCTACTCCGTAGGTGATATTTTTCTCAAAGAGCATTTTAGGGTGACCCATTTATTTTAACATGGTGGAAGGTGGCAGGCTTGGAGTTATCTGGAGGAAAGGTGAGGAGGAGAGTTTGGGTTATGCTCTCCAGCTGTTTCTGCAGAGAAAGAAAACTAATGGGTATACATCCAATCCATAGGTTGAAACCAAATAGATGTTTTGGTGGATGCTTTTTTTGAAATCCTCTGCACATTTTCTTAATTAAAATATTCCTTCTGTGATCTTGATCCTAGTGATCCAGCCCCTTGTTCATTTTCTGCCCCATTGCTGTGATGGTTAATGCAGCTCACACATACAGAGTTTGATAAACCCTTATTTTCTGATTTCTTCACCCTTTCTCAGAAGCCCTCAAATGCTTTCCAGTTGTAACGTACTTTGTCAGCTGAATAGTATCCAAGAATGAAATTGGATATAGTAGAATCAAGCATACTAAAAAGGAAAGCTTTGTCCCCTGATCTAGTGATAGCACTCATGGGGAAGAGCATGAGTTAAGAAAATTCTGAAGAATCTTCAGTTTGTAACCAAATGTTGGCATATTGTCATCAGCCATTGAAATCCTTTATTTCTTCTGGCTATTCTGCCATGAAGCTCTGGTGACAAAAAGCTGTTGGCGCTTTTTTGCTTTGCCCCCAAGAAAGAAAATGTGGGTTCCAATGTCCAATATTATGTCTCCTTGTGGCTTTAGTTTCTCTGCCAGAGAATCACTGTACTAACATTTAATGAATACTTTAGGATTGCCAGGAAAACCCCAAATGAAGACTGCTGGGTAGAGATGGCAAGAAAAAAATAAGTTTTCTCCAGAGGTTCTGCTTCCTTGTGTCTAGACACAAAGTGGTAGGGTCAGTTAAAATGATCCAGGAGTGATTAACTTGGGAAAAACAAACTGACTTATTAATCCAGTTCTAAACGTTGTGTATATATACACATCCACACATATATTTATATTATGAAGGATTGCCAAAAGCCTTATTTTCACTTATATCACGGCCAGATGTTTGCTTTATCATAACTAAACATGGTTGATAGGTTACAGGGCATGGATAATGCTTGAGGATTATAGTCTTGGAGATTCCACATGTGAACAAGACTCACTGAACTTGGTAGACTTGACCTCTGAATGCAGATATCTAGAACTGTAGTATTACTATAGTAATAATGATTGGGATTATTATTTTAAGATATATTTCTAGTATCTAATCTAATTCACATGTGTTCTATGAAATACCATGCATGCTTAAAGCTCATTATTCATCTAACACATGAGGGAGGCTAATATATTCTATAAAAACTGGCCTTTTCCTGAGTTAAAGGTTTAATTAATATTAACCTGTATAAGTATAGCACATCTTCATAGCATATCTTAGTATGGAAAACGTTTTAATAAAGACAAATACTGTCATTTGTATATTAGATGTACATTTTGACCAGGCCAGCTTAATTTTCAGCCAGTAGTTTCAACCAGTCAGGATTGAAAAGCTTTTAATTTCAAAGATCTTTGTGACGTAAAATTTTGTATGCTGTATAATAATCACATTATTGATTGCCTTTATCAGAAAGCTGTCTGCTGTTTTCTGATAAAAGGCTTAAAGACAGCAGCAGATAATGTGCAGTAAGTTTTGTGACTTGCTTTCTTACTGCAAACATTCCTAGAATAGCTGTGTCAGGATCTGTCAGGTTTTTTTTCTCTGTTTTTAAAACTCAATTTTATTTGAGATTTTACTGGATCATTTTTATACAAATATAGCTAAACTATACCACAAAACTGGAGAGATAGTGGGGGGGGGAGGAAGGCAGAAAAGGCTGCTTTCATTTTGATTCAACATTTTAATTGTCCTAAGTGTGAAAATCATCATGCAGAGATAAATATAAACTAATATAAAGTATTATATTCCCTGGAGTGGTTTCAGGGGAAAAAAAGAAAACCACATGAATTAGACCTCAAAGCTGTATAATTGGCTCCCTATTGTATGTTTGGAGAACTAGAGAATACCTCTGGTAAAGCATGAGTTAGGTACAATGCCCATTTTAGAAGGGAGGGAAAGGATAAGGAAACATGGAGTCAATTTCCTGTGCGTATTTAATTGCATTTCAGTGAGAATTACTTATCAGAAGTATTCTTACAGTTGCAGCTTGAGGGGAAGAGAACAATCTTCCTAGAAAAAAAAAATCAGCATATGTGTCTTCACTATGAACTGCCAATGCTCTGCTAAGGCAACACCCATTACAGGGAGCACAATAAGAAAAATGGTCTTTTCTGCATAGCAAATGTGAAAAATGGAGGCATATGTACTTCCCAGTGTTATGACTTGACTATTAATTATTTTATTTGACACTTTGTTTTCTAAGAAGAAAAAGAGCTTCATTTATCTATGATTTTAAAAAAAAGCATCTGTGATATGTTCTGATATTATCGAAGATCGTGACACTGCTTTTAAATTAGTCAAATTCCTCTGATTTATCCTTGTTGATTTTGCTATTTAGGTAAGAGAGCGAGATGCAATATGTTTTGTGCTGCTGATGCTTCAGTAAAATGACACATCTTGCTGCATTTATTTTGTGTCTAGACATTCTGTGAAAGGTCTCTAGGTGGAAATGTTTTCCTGTGTAGAAAGAACAGAGGAAATACAACTATAAGAGATGTTCTACGACAGCTAAGCTATCTCTAAACCTTATAATCCATTTAACAGGTACCATTGAATTAAACTAAATATCCCGGGACAATATTGTTAAGTTGTAAGCTCTAATGGATGTGGTCTTAATGCTCTCCTAAGACATTTTATTGCCTGAAGGGAGAGGCAAAATGGAGTACTCGTGTCTGTATGCTGGAACCACTATTTCCCACCATGGTTAGTGTTTTATAGTACTGAGCACAGCAGGCTAACACAAGGCTGTGTTTTGTGACATATACTGTACCATATAAAGATCTCCCTCATGATTTCTTTCCCCTTGTGCCATCTTGGATAGCAGCCATTCTCTGATCATTGGTAGGGTTTTTCTTGCATAGTCTTGATGGGTGAAAGTTGGTCTCTTTGCTGCTAGAAATGCACCTTCTTGGTTGTTGTCCCAAAGTGGATAGGCATGCAGTATTCAACTGAACTGAATACTTGACCAAGTTTGATTATACACACAAGGAATTTGTCTCCGGTGCAGAAGCTCTCAGTGTACATACAAAGCAATAGAATCATCATCATCATCCCAATAAGTGGGGGTGAGTAAGAAAGATAGAAGGGAATAATAGATAAGGAATAATAATCATACATCCATTGTACATGGTAAATACACATAGATATTAGAAAGCATTGTAAGAATTGGGTGTTCAGAAGTGTGATGGCCTGATGGAAAAAACTATCCCTGTGTCTAGTTCAATGTTTCTCAACCTTGACAATTTTAAGGCATGTGGACTTCAACTCCCAGAATTCCACAGCCAGCATTGCTGGCTGTGGAATTCTGGGAGTTGAAATCCACATGCCTTAAAATTGTCAAGGTTGAGAAACACTGGTCTAGTTGTTTTGGCCTCCAGTGCTCTGTTACACCCCATCCTGAGGGGAAGAGTTGAAAACAGGATGTGAGGGGTCTGCAAATATCTTCTGAGCCCTCCTGATCCACACAATATACAGATCTTCTATGGAAGGCAGGCTGATTGCAATTGTCTTTCTGCAGTCTTAACTATCTGTTGGAGTCAGTACCTATCCTTTTTGGTTGCTGTACAAAAGTAGTAGTACAGCAGTTAGAGTAGTACAAATGCCAGACTCAATAATTCCACTGTATCAACAATTTCTGAGGCAGTCCGAACTTCCTGAGTTGGCGCAAGAAGAACATTCCTGAGTTGTGTCTTTTTAATGCTGGTTGTAATGTTAAGTATCCATTTTGAGTCCTGGGAGGTTGTAGAAGCCAAAAATTTGAAGGACTCTACTGCTGATACTGTGCTGCCAAATATGGTAAGAGGTGGTAAAATAGAAGGGCTATTCCTAAAATCCACTCTCATCTCTATAGTTTTAAGCGTATTCAGCACCAGATTGT